AAGACCAGTCCACAAAATTAAATGTGCTGAATAGTCATCTTTGGATCCTGTCTGGGATAGTGGGCATTATAGAGGCATGGAAAATGTTGGTGGAGTTACAAAAACTCTGCCTTCCTTGAGGAACATGCTCCTTGATTTGGAAGTACCTGCTCAGGGGTCTTCAGTAGCTTTCGGACTCCCTTCTTTCACTATTCATCTGAGCTCTCCTAAATTTGTGTCCATCAGTAAACCCTACGATTACATGTGAATTCGGTGTTGGCTTTTGCTTTCACTTATTACTGATATCACTAGTAACATTTACCACCTAGTTATTTAGTGATTGTTTACTGCAAAATATTGGGCAATGGGCAGGAGAGCCCAGTCACCTCTACAATTCTTGGAAACATGTCCTGCCCCTAAAATAGATGCTGTAGAACTGATAATTATGACGAATGATAGCCTGGATAGTGATACTGAATATAATGATAGTGGTGGTGGTGGTGATAGTGAAGGGGTGATACCGATGCTAATAGCAATTGTTTTGAAATAAAAATGATAATACCATATAGTAGGGGCTAACCTTTCTTATGCCATGGAGCCCTTTGGCATGGTAATGAAGTTTATGGACCACTTCTCAAAATAATGCTTTCAAATATATAAAATAAGATACACAAGATTACAAAGGAAACTGATTATATTGAAATAAAGTTGTCAAATATATATTTTAAAAATCAAATTCATAAACTCTACATTAAGAACTCCTGCTATAGAGCATTTCTCTCCAAAGCAAGGACCAGGGTCCCTTGTAGAGTCATGCAATGACACCAAAAGATATGTGATCAATCTACCAAGGATGGAAAGACAGGTCAAACCCCACCTTTCCTAATATAGCCAGGTGTAGAGCTTGTCTTCCTCCAACATTTCCCCACTCTGCCTTCTTTTACTCTTATGCAAATTCCCATTCTTCCTCTTCTACCTCTGTATTGGCCCCTGAGGGGAATTATAGCCTAATTATTACCCCAGCATCCACTGCAACAGCTGCAATAAACATTCAATAAATCCATAGATTTTAAGCTTTAGTAGCTCAAAAATGGGCAGCTAGGTGGTGCAGTGGATAGAGCACTGGACTTGAACTCATCTTTGTGAGTTCAAATCTGGTCTCAGACACTTACTAGCAGTGGGCAAGTTACTTAATCTTGTTTGCCTCAGTTTCTTTTCCATACAATGAGCTGGAGAAGGAAATAAACCACTCCAGTATCTTTGCCAAAAATAAAACAAAACAAAAAAATGGGTCACAAAGAGTTAGAAACAACTGAATAACATATTAGCAACAGCTTAAAATTGGACTCAGAATTTAGGGATACCCTGTATATTATATTGAATGATGGTAATTATTAGTGCATGAATCTAGCAGGGGAAAAGAACCCTTCAAAAACCATAAGGGAACCTTCTGAACCATTGAGTGGGACTCTTAGTTCCACTCAGAATCCCTGTTGCCCAGTCTTAATACTTCTTGAGGTCAGCAGAAAGAAAAGATAGAACCAGAGTCAGGTAAGCTTGTCGGGTTTCAAGAAGATGAAGAGTGATGGGGAATGCATATTTTTAAAAGATGAGTCCTTTTACGCTTGCCAATAATATCTTTAGGTTATAGTTCTAGCAGTGAGATTGCTATGTCAAAGGCTACGAACAGTTGTATAGCTGTGCATGCACATTGCTGTCCTACTTTCCAAAAAGTTTGCACTTATTCACAAGCTCTACCAAGTGTCATAGTGTGCCTATTCCTTCACAATCTCATCAATACTGATTTTTTTTCCTTTTAAACTATTTTTGCTAATTTAATGCTTAAAAGAGGTATTTACAGAGTTGTTTTGCTTTTCATTGCTCTGATTGACATTTCAATTTGTAATACAAAACAGAGCTTTGAGATCCCTCAAAATTTGGACCCTCCTGGTAGCTGCTTTTTTCTAATTATGTTAATCCCCCTTCACTGGAAATATAGGGGCCAAATCATGGAGGCCTATTTAGACTAAATTCTGTAGTAGAGTCATAATTAAATCTCCTTGATACTCCTCGAAAAAACAACCCCATTATCTGATCTAACGCATTTTCACTGTCTGTCCCCCACACTTGGAATCCTCTCACTCCTTTCATCTCCATCTCTTTAGTTTCCTGGGCTTCCTTCAAGTCCCTGCTAAAATCTCACCTTTTACAAGAAGCCTTTCCTGATTCCCCCTTAATTGTAGTGCCCTCCCTCTAAGACAATTTCCAATTTGTCCTGTACATATTTTGTTTGTGCATAATTGTTTGCATGTCATCTCCCCAACATCTGGTGAATTCCTTGAAAGTAGTGGCTGTCCTTTGCCTTTCTTTGCACCCCCATCATGGTGCCTGACTATGATTAATAGATTAATTTTAATTACGTTAAAATTAAATCAACTATTAAAATAATTTATTGCTCATGTAAGTGGTAAATAAATGTTTATTGACTGACTAGAAATTCTTCTGCCAGAGTGGGATGGGGATGGGAGATAGGCAAGTTCGTAAAAGTGGTACAGAGGACAGTTCCTTAGAGAGGTAAAGTGTTTCTAGAAAGGAGGTAGCCTACCCCTCAGAAAGGTATCCCATCAGAGTTGAGGTGGTGAGAGATAAGGCCCGGAATGAGGGCTACCATGGTGACAAGAGCTTGGGGATGAGACCTTGGTGCTTGGGGATGGAAGTTAGGATATACTATAGGTAAGGATCCTGAAGATGGGCCCAAGTGAGAGATCAAAGTAGTACTAAATGATGCTGGCAGAAGATTACAAATCACCAGAACATGGGTCTTCTTAAAGTGTGGAAAGGACATCTCTGACATACTATGGGGAGGAAGCATCCTATAGCCCTCTGCCTCCACCCCCAAGACATAATCCCAGTAGTTCCACCCTAATTAAAGCTCTGTTCTCTAGGCAGTGAGGACATACTAAAAGGTTTGAGCCAGGAAATAGTATGATCAGAGCTATGCTTTTGAAAGATTAACGATAGTGGTAAGAAAAATGAGGAAGGGGAGGAGTCCAGAGACAGAGAATAATTAGGTACCTATTTAAACGGTTCCTGAGAGGGATCATAAGGGCTTAGCCTAAGGTCATCTTTGTGGGAATGGAAAGCAACTGATCCATTTATTCTTGCATTCAACAAACAAAGCACATAGCAGGTACCTTGCTAGGTCCTGTGGAGTATAGAAAAAGAAATAAGATAAATCTCTGCCCTCATAAGTAGGACAGACATAAGAGCCAAGGTTCACTGCATATTAGGGCCCTGGGGACCCATTCTCCATTCTGGTTGGAGACAGTGGAGGATGGACAGATCCTCAATTTAAGGAGGGTGCCCAGGGCAGCTATTTCTTCATTTCCCACTTGGCTGAACTCTTCTGGACTTCATCATGCACCCCTCCCCCACTGGGTATCATACTGTTCTCCCCTCACGTCCTTTTAAGTTTCTTTTTAATATGTTGTATTCCCCCATTGGACTAAGAGCTCCGTGAGGACAGGGATTGATTGCCTTTTGCCTTTCTTTGTACTCCCAGCACTTAGCACAGTGCCTGACACACATAATGGGCACTTAATAAATGTTTGTTGTTTGTCCTTCATTCTCAAAGAGGACCATGACATCAGGGAGGTGATGCCATGATGTGCAAGTGGATTGGTTTGCTTACTGACTGACTGGCTGACCATCTGAGTGACTGACCAACTGATGAGATCTTAGAATCTTTCAACCCAACCCACTACTCATTTTACAAATGAGGAAACCAAAGCCCAGAGAGGTTTCAGAGACTTGCCCAAGGTCACCTAGCTAGAGACAGACTGGGTCTAGAGCTTGTATTTCCCAATTCCCTGCATTTTCTACTCCATAATGATGCCTCTTTGTGCCTCTTATGGAAAGGAATTGTGGTCAGAGTTTGGTGACTAACTGAAGTGTGAGATCGAGGAAGAAGGAAGAATCAAAGACTGATCTGGAGGCCTGGAGCCCAAGAGACTTCACACACCTGTGCAGGGCTTTCCTTCCAGGACCTGACTCCTTCACACCTCACTCTTTCCTTCACATCAGTTAGAAATCCAACATTTCCCCATTCTCCCTTCTTGGGTCCATGTAGCACACCAATGGTGTCCAAACCCTTCCCACACTCTGCCCTAAAGGAACTTGAGTTCCCATCAATCAAAAATTTCCTGCCATCCAATTGGCTGGCAAGAAACCATATTCCTATTAATGCTAATGTGGCTTCTTCTGAAGACATGAGTGCTTGACTTCACTGTATACATCACTTAGCATACACAGCCTGTAATAATTCCCTGTGTGCCTTGCCTCCTCAACTTGACTGTAAGCTTCCTGTGGTCACAGACAATGCCTTGTGCATCTTTGTATCTACCAGTGCCTTCCCTCAAGAAATGTTGGTTGAATTCATGAAATAAATTGAGCGGAGCGGAGTGGGGGTGTGTGTGAAACAATGTCTGTTAAATTCTACCATTCCTTTCCATTCGCCTTGGAATTGGATTCCCATGGGAATCTCTGTCTTGGTACAAGAAGTGAGGATTTAGTATTTGCTGCAAGCTCATGGTTCCTTAGGTAAGTCGAAGAGCAGGAGAAAAATCATTTGAGGGAATGGACTGGATAGCTTAAATCCCTCTACAACTCTTGGAAGTAGCCCCATGAATCTAAAATGGACACTGTAGAGTTAAGGTGGATAAAGCCACTGCAGATTTCATGGATTCTTCAAACATCTGTATATTTCCAGTGGTAGATTGACTGCAGGTCAAGACAGGTAAAACTGTGAAGGTGAGCTTTATTCCCAGTACCCCTTTACTGATATCCTACCTCCCAAATCTAGAGCCTTCCATTCCTTTGGGCAGGGTTTGCCCTGTCTACCAGTGCCTACCTACCGACTAGTGGCTGATAAGTGGTAACCTTAGCAGAATGTGACCATAGGCCCTTTGATGATGCTTCTTAAATTCATCCCCCTCCAAATAATCCACCTCTCCAAAAAAGAGTTCAAAGAAACTCCAGAAGTTTATTGATTTCCTATTTTTTTTTAAAAAAGCAAATACATAGAGCGTCATACAGAGAAACCACATGGTCCTCACACAAGAAATTCACATGGCTTAGTTTGGGAACAGGGTATTGCCACAGCCAGCTGTGTCCAGGAGCAGTAGAACAAAAGCTGCCTCAAAATTTTCCACAGAACATCCAGAGACACCCCAGGTCACCTACATCCCTTCTTCATCTCACAACACACAACTAAAGTAGGAAGTGTGTTGCTAGCCTATCAAGTCTTTAAGGGAAAAATGGAAGTGTACACAATCTCTCTGCTTCCCCAGTGGGAAACCTAAGCTTGGAATCAGTCCTCCACGCAGGGACAATTTAAATTCCCAAGGGCTGTCAAGGTGAAAGTCTGGCAGAAGGTATAGAGGTGGGGAAGAAGAGGTTAGTGAAGGTCTCTATCCTAGAGCTTGTCTCAAAGAAGAGCAATGCCAAGAGGGTCTTGCTTAGTGAGAATGTTGTCGATATGGTGATAATTTTACCACAAAATGCCAAATAAAGACCCAGAATGGAAGGGTAGGTACCTTCCTTCTCAGAAAGCAATTCCGGGAACCCCTGGATTCATGTGATTTAGAATTGCGCCATTCCCACCATTTGCTTCCCCACTCTACTCCTCTACACCTTCTATTTTAGAGAAGAAGAAAGTAAAGCCCATAGAAGGAAAGTGATCTGCCCACTATGAACCTTAACCCCTTCCCCAGGAATGTCCTCAACCAAAGCAGCAGCCATCACACAGACAGGCCTCCTATGGCTAGCATTTTTTTCTTTTGCCCTCTCTGTTTTCTGTATTTTACTAAGCGCTATTAAACAGGGCAAAGGGAGGGGGAGCCAGGAACCAGACCTCTGCTCAGGGAGAAGCTAAATGGACCTTTGTGGTTACTATCTTTCCCAGGGCAGTGATGTAAAAAGGGAATTTCAAGAATACAGCCAGGGGATGGATATGTCTGCCTTAGGTTTACTCAAAATTGTTTCCATATTTCTCAATCTCTGCATCTGTGTTTTTAGGGTGTGTGTGTGTGTGTGTGTGTGTGTGTGTGTGTGTGTGTGTGTTATCTCAACAACTGGGGAGCTTCCTGAGGGCAAGAACAATGTCTTTGCTTTCCTCTTGATCTTCCACCACTGCCCAGCACAAGGTTTTGCATTTTGTCTTGAATGCTTGGAAGAGGTGTCATCTTGAAACCTATGTCAAATCCAGTCTAAGATCAGATTTTCAAGAATTACACCAGGAAGGAAGGGGGGCAGGAGGGTAGTGATGCAGAATTGACCTGCAGGTTGGCAGGGGATTGCTAAAGGCTACCAACTCAGTGTGAAAATTCAATGTCAAATTTTATTGGCGAAGTCTCTGATTTTATCCTTCCCCACCCTTTTCCCAATATCTCATCAATTTAAAATGAATGATTGTTATGATCATCCCAAATATTCAATACACGTGGACCAGTGTTTGGCCCTGGCTGCTTAGGCGGGGGGAGTATGCATAGCTAAGCCTATATAGAAGGTCTCAGAGAAGGGGAAAGTGGAGGGACAACTTAGCCTTTCTTAATAAAAGATTGGAGCCATGAGGGAGGTTTTAATATCTAATACCCATCACTGGCTTTATCTTACAGTATATACACACATAGAATGGTTTTCTGCTTGAGGCTCTAGGTGGGTCACTCAGCTGCCTAATATCTAAAATGCGTGTGAGTTTGGTGACTTGGCTGTTGATCAAATGAGATAACATTTGTAAAGTGCTCAGCACAGTGCCTGGCACACAGTAGGTGCCGTAGAAATGCTTCATCCCTTTCCCTTTCCCTTCTCTTTCTATTCCTGATGGGCCTGCCTAATCAGAACCATAGTCCTCCAGGCCAGACCGGGAAAGACTAGAGCTGAGGGGAGCTGGTGAAATCCCACCTAGTGCTGATCCTTACGGAGTAATGAGTGAGCATCGAGCTTCCCTTTTCCATCTATCTCATATGGCAGAACAAGCTATAACTCATTCAACTAAATATGGATTGTAGGATCACAGATTTAGAGTTGAAAGAAACCTGTGAGGTCATCTAAATTCAACCCCTTCATTTTACAGATGAGGAAACTGAGGCCCAGAGAAGTTAGGTAATTTGACCAAGGTCATGCAACTAGTGAGTGGAAAAGCTAGGGTTTGAGCTTAGCTCTGACTCCAAATCCAGTGCTCTTCTACTTTACTGCTTTTCAAGTGGACTACAGTCCAATCAAAGGCATTTGTTCACCTGGCAAGGCTATGACATAGAAATATAGGAATACAGAATGGACTTCAGAGTTCTATTCCACTTCTCCCCACCCCCAATTTGAAGCATATCCCCAAATGAATGGGAAGCTTCTGCTTGAAGACCAACAGCGATGGGGAAGCCACTACATGCCAAAGCAGCCCATTCCATTTTTGGATGGGATGCAAGGGCTGGCCAGCAAAGAGAAGTGTTTGGCAAAGGTACCAGAGGCAGCTAGCCATCCTTGGCAGGTGGAGAAGGTGAGCTATCTTTCAGAATTTGTGAGATGTCAGTTTGTATGGAAGCTCAATGCTAACTGGAAGTAAAGGAGTGGATGAAATGGCCTCTGAATGGGGCTGTGATTCTTTGCTGCCCTGGTTGCATTGTTCCCTTCTTCTAGTGTGGCCAGGCTCCTTTTCTCCTTTCTGGAATCCCATCTCAGGGGTCCTTGGATCTTGGGAGTCAGTAATGCCCTTCACTTGAAGTCATCACCCCAAACATCCCTCCAGCTCGACTTATCTAGATGGCTGCAGCGTCCGTTGAGAGCCACCCCCATCTTCTCCCACCCATTCTATTTGGAAGGCTGCATCCAAGCATGACTGTCAGATCCAGGCTGAAACTGCTGTGGTCTGATTAGCATCTTGTGTGACTTTTGAGTAGTATTTTCCCCATCTGCATCTTGCAACACATAGATTGAAAACTTCCCAAAGGCAGGGACCGTATCCACTGGCCTCACTCTCTGTATGACACTCAACCTAACCCAGCCCTAAACATATGATGATGGTAATAACTACCTCTTCAGCTCCCATTACCCCCTGCACTGACATCAGACAACACGAACCAAAACAATCCCCCTTCGTGATTGTTGAGAGTCCCACAGACTGCAGAAACCTGGCCCTTGTAGAACAGAATAGAACAAAACAGAAGAGAACAGAATAATACACAGGGCATGGAGGTGTCAGATACAGATAATTTCAGGAAATAGTTCATTGTCTGGTCTTTCAGTGATAAAGGCTGAAGTTAACCTCCCTCCATCCAAAGCCTCCTCTTGAGGTGGTGAGTGGCTTCCCTCAGCTATCTGGGACAAAGTCAAGCGATGGACTGCCTGGCCAGACATGGAGCTCTGATCTGGGCCCCCTCCTCCCATGGCTGTCTTCAGAAGCTTGCAGATCTGATTATGATGGAGGCAGGGAAAAGCGGAACAAATTTTCTGCCCAATATTAATGCTTTTTAGAAGCTAATAGATAGCTAACACAAAAGTATTACATTTTATATCTGTGTATAGGTGAGACAGAAAAGCATCCTTTTCACCATCTTTTACACACAGTAGTAAAAATGGGTACTTATCTTCTCTTTCTGCTCACACTTTCAGGCATACATACATACACACACGAACATGCATGCACACACATACAATCATACATTACATATATATTTATATTTATATATATATACCATTTTTTGAAGAAAGAATTATTGACATCAGATAAAAGCCCCTTTAACTCAGGAAAGCTCCCTCCCACTTCTACCCCATCCCACCCCCCAAATCCCTTGCCTATAACCCCAAGGTGGGAAAAAAAGGTTGTTTAAAAATAGCTCCATTGTCCACAGTTTTCAGATTTTGTTCTCAATCAGTTTTAACTTTTCCAAATACTGCAAAGGGTGAACAGACCAACCCATATGGAAAGACCTACAGTCTTCTTGGTTGGGTCAATGCATTTCTAGAAGATAAAGAGAAATCCACAAGTAAGCATTTATAAAGTTATAATTCCCTCCCCCTCGCCCCAAACCTGATCTCTTCCCTTCCTGACCATCATAGCACATTCTAGTAGCATCATCTGTTTGGTTCCTTAGGTTTTTTTCATTTTAGCATACATATTTACTTGATCACGCACACATATCACTCCCCCCCAACACTTTACTATAATACATATACTCTGTGATCCAGTGACATTTCCTATTCCTCACACAAAACATTCTACTTCCCAACTCTAGTCATTTTCACTGACTGTCTCCCATGCCTGGAATTCTCTCTCCTCATCTCTGCCTCCTGGCTTCCCTAGCTTTGTTTAAGACCCAGCTAAAGTCTAATGTTCTACAGGAAGCCTTTACTGATCCCATTAATGCATTTGACTTGTTGACTTTCTCTCTCTCTCTCTCTCTCTCTCTCTCTCTCTCTCTCTCTCTCTCTCTCTCTCTCTTCTCTCTCTCTCTCTCCTTTTTTTCTCTCTCCCTTTCTTTCTCTCTCTTTTTCTCTTTCTTTCTCTTTCTCCCTCTCTCTCCCTCCCCCTTTTTTCTCTTCCTCCTTCCCTTCCTCTCTCTCTATGTTCCTCTGTCTCTTTTCTCTCCTTTTTCTCTCTCCCCTTTTCTCTCTCTCTTTTTCTCCTTCTCTCTCTCCCTCCCCTTTTTCTCTCCTCCTCCTTCCCTTCTCTCTGTTCCTCTGTCTTTCTCTTCCTTTCTCTCCTCTCTCCTCTTTCTTCTCTTTTCTTTTCTTTCTCTTTCTCTTTCCCTTTCTCTCTCCCCTTTTTCTCTCCCCCTCCTTCCTTTCTCTCTGTCTCTGTTCCTTTGTCTCTCTCTTCTCCTCTCTTTTTTCTCCTTTTCTTTTTCTCTTTTTCTTTCACTTTCTCTCTCCCTCTCCCCCTTTTCTCTCCCAATCCTTCCCTTCCTCTGTCTCTGTCTCTATTTCTCTGGCTCTCTCTGTCTTTGTCTCTGTATCTTTCTGTCTCCACATATGCACACACACACACACACACACACACACACACACTCTTTCACTGTTCGATGTGTGTTTCTTTGCTTCCCCAACAAGACACTAAGTAAGCTCCCTGAGGACAGGGCCATATGTTGCATACCTCCTTGACATCCTTTCTATTGTATAGGGCAATTCTGGGCATATGGTGGATACTCAAAAGGTCTGCATGTTGAGCTGAACTTAATTGCATTCTCATCCTTTTCCTTCTTCTCTCTGTTGAATCTAAGCTAAGAGCAAGGAGTGTTTGAAGTCTAACTGAATCCAAAGCGAGCTCAATTTGGATCCAAGTAGTCCTTGAACAGTCACTCCCCCTCTGTCTGACAGTTCATATCTTTCCCCATCTTCCCATCTCAGCTTGACAGTCACTTTCTCTGGGCAGCCTTCCCTGATCACCCCCGATTTGACTGGGGGCTCCTTTGCTCTGTATGGCAAGCAGCTCTTCTGCTCTCAGGTTCCAAATACTCAATGCCTTTTCTCAAGTAAAGTCTCATTTTGCAAGTGTTCTTAAGACTTTTTTCCTCTATCGGTCCTATGTTCCTTACTATACTATACATTTTTTTAAAATGTAGCAGGCTACATTTTAAAATGTCTTATTTCTTGTGTCTTCATCCCTTTCTCCACTTTCTATTCTCAAGTCCCTAAACCCCACTCAAAGCAATAGGTGCTCAATTCAACCTGTAGATTTACTGTCAGTGCATCTGAATGCAGGAGATAATTGGAGCCCCACATCTAATTCGAACCTGACTTGAGTGTCCCAGCACATACTCTGGGCCCTAAAGAAATCTGTGTCAGGAATCCCACAACCTTGGTGACATTAAAGACATGCCATATACTAGAAAAGTGCATAATTATGCATAAGAGAGTGAGTTGGCAGTGCCAACACTTATGGCATTTGGCATTGCCAGGGATGACTGTCTCTCCTCATTCTTTAACCTGAGGTTAGGCAGTTCAAAGCCCCTCCAGGATGGTCCAGCTGGGTTCCCCTTCTGGAGCTCAGTGCCATGCTGTATAACAGTCAAAAGGGACATTGTGAGACCCTGACTTGACATGGTTAATAGCACCCTTTCAACTTTGCAGTGTCCTAAAGAAACAAGGGGCATGGCTGTAATAACCTGGGGAGGGTCCCTCTTACCCTGGGATCAGAGGATTCTCACCTGCAAGTTGAACATGTGATGATGTCCCCTTCTTAGAACCGGGAGCTGAAGTTCCTTAGGACATTGGTTCCAGTTAAGGATCCCAGCATATTCCTATCGAAACCTTGCTGCAGGGAGAGAAGCATCAATAATGTCAACCATAATGGAACACAGAGAGTGGATGATCAATGACTTTCTACTAGCGTGACAAGCTGTCATGCCACAGGTCTCACTTTTCTCAGGGAGCCAAGTCTTGGTTTTGTAACGCATAACCCACCCTATCTGGTCCTCGCACCAAACACATCTGCAAACGCACTACTTAAATGGGAGTTATCACATGTGTGATCCATTTGCTTTAAGATGATTGACCCTGGTTAATGCTATATGTATGTGTATATGTGTATGTGTGCGTGTATATATGTGTACATATGTGTGTGTGTGTGTGTGTGTGTGTGTGTGTGTATATATATATATGTAGAGAGAGAGAATTAATTGAGGTTTTAGCATGCATATATGTGCCAGGAATGACTATATGTGTGTGTATGTGTGTATGTGTGTACATATGTATGTGTATGTGTGTGTATGTGTGTGTGTGTACAGAGAGAGGAAGAGAAGGGAGAGAGAGGAGAGAGAGAGAGTGAGAGAGAGAGAGAGAGAGAGAGAGAGAGAGAGAGAGAGGACAGTATACATTAATTTTAGCATGCATATATGTGCCAAGGATGACTATGTATGTGTGTGTATTTATATATTTTTGTGTGAGTGTGTGTGTGTGTGTGTGTGTGTGTGTGTGTGTGTACAGAGAGAGTAAGAAAAGGGAGAGAGAAAGCTCACTAATCAGGGTTTTAGCATGCATATATATGCCAGGGATGATACACACATTTATATACAAATATAATATATGTTAATATATATACGTGTGTGTGTACATTTACATACATGTGTATACATTTATACATACATGTAAATGAAGATAAATTTAATTTCCACAGGTAAGCTTGGATTTCATATATGCATACTAAAATATAGCATCAAAACAAGCCTAGGACCCTAGGCTAGCAAATAATTGTACAACCTTTTCCAACAAAAGTAAACAGCCTGGCTGCTGTCAGTCTCCAAAGCATCAGGGACAGTGGCAGCCAGCCCTTACTTCTCCTGAATCTGGGCTATCTTTGAGAAACTTGGAGTTAGACAGAACTGTAACCTAATCCCGTCCCTGACATTCACTAGCTAGGAGACCATGGGCAGGTCACAGGATGATAGATTTAGAGCTAGGGGAGACCTTAGAAAGCATTTCATCCAACTTCCTTCATTTTATAGATGAAGCAACTGAAGTCCAGATCGGTTAAGTGACTTGCCCAGGGTCACACATAAGTGACAGAGGTGGGATTGGAATATAGGCCCTAGGACCCTGGAAATAGTGCTCTTTCCACTTTACCACACTGCTTCTCGAGTCACTTTTAAGTCTTTTGAACCTCAACTTCCTTATCGACATAATGGGAATGATAATACATTCATATCTATTTTATAGGGCTATTACAAGGAGTGATTAAGAAAATAAAGGTAAGGTGTCTTACAAATTTTAATACTCTTTATAAATTTCAGTATTAATTATTTTCCTTTCATGCCTTCAGTTGTCACATCTGACTTAGCATGCATTATGCATAATGTCACTTTCAATTATCCACATAATGTAAGGGAGGTGCTTACACAGATAACCAATAAATTGCATTTTAAAAAATTCCAATTTCATTTTAGAATTATTGTATTCTTCCTCTCTTCAGTAGATTTATTGACTTCCTTCTGAAAACAACTTATTATTTAAGTAGACCTTCCTGCCTTGCAGAGATAGATTAATAATGGCAGCTGTGGGAGGGACTGTCCCAAAGCATTCTGGGTGAAAGAGGAAATGACAAGATTGGAAATGTACAGATGATTTCTTGATCCCAAGTACAGAGCACTTTGCATTTATTTTGGTTAATGTTTGCTGTTGTAATCCTGTGAATTCTTTCACCCATTATATCAGCTATCCATCCCACAGCATTTATGTCTTTACTGGAGTTATTAGTGCACATTATTAAAGTCTCAAGGAGAGACCCATGCAGCATACAGCTTAAGACCTATTAACCTGTGTGCCTATTAATCCTTACTTTGACTACCCAGGGTATTATGAATAATTTTGTGCATACCCTTAATCTGTCTATCCCCCATCTTGTTCACAGAAGTATCACAAGAGACTTTGTCAAATACCTTACTGAGATCAAGAGAGGCTATGGCTATGGCCATTACTGGAGGGGCATTCCACATGAGGTGCTTAGCCCAGAGGAGATTGATGACCTTGTCCTTACCTGTCTGAGGACACCCTGGAGCTCCTTGTTTGACCACATGTCAGCGAGAAGGAGTCGGGCAGCTTCTGCAGCTTTTGGTGAACTATTGGGCAAAGGGGAAAAGAAGTGATTCATGAAGGAACAGAACCACTGAGTCATGGGATGGAGCATTTATCCTTCCTCCCTTACTTTTCACCAAATAATCCCAATACACATAAACAGCCCAGCTTCTGGGCTTGGGAAACCTGTATAGTTTCCTAGGTCTGCAGGAAGAGTAAGCCTTGGTAATGAGAGTCACCAGGACATTCTCTGCTCCACTAATGAGAGTCAGTCAATTTCACTGAATCCCTGTATGCCTTAATCCAGCCTTTTGGCTCCATACATGCCCACCCTCAGGTGGTGGAAGCATTTTCCCCACTCCTTATATTCATGTTCCATGTTACCTCAGCAGGCTCCCACTTCCTAGGCTTGAGAGCCCAAAGAACCAAACATTTCCCTAAACTCTTTCTCTGTGAAAGGCATTGGGTTGTAGTAGAAAGCTGCTGGGATTAGCATCAAGAGAGACCTAGGTTTGTATACACATCTAATACTTATTAGCTGTGTGACCTTAGGCAAGTCATTTAATTGCACTGAGCCTCAATGTTCTCATCTGTAAAATATTCATATAATATAATGCCTTTAGTTGCTACCTCCAAGGCTGCTAGGATCAGATAAGAGTGTATATAAAGGCTCTGCAAACCTTACAGTGTTGTATAAATATCAGATATTATTGTTTCCTTCTTACCAACTGCTTTTACAGTGGACAATGTTCTTACATCTCTGTGAAGTACTCAAACTTCAAACTGAATTTAGCCTCTGGGAGGCAGTCCATGACTCCTCCCATGTTGGTTTTTTTATTTTCCTGGTTTTTCTCCTACCTGTATGATTGATCCTTCTCAGTCTCCTTTGCTGGAGCTTTATCTAAGTCATGCCCACTAACTGTGGTTATCTCTCAGGGGTCTGTGCTTGTCCCTCTTCTTCTTTCTTCTCTATACTAATTTTCTTGGTGATCTCATCATCTGCCATAAAGTCAATAATCTCCTCTATGTGGATGATTTTCATTTCCATTTATTCAGCCCTAACCTCTCTGCAGACCTCCAAGTCTCACATCTCTTATGGCCTACTGGACATCTTGAACTGGATGTCCCATAGAGATGTTAGCTTGACATACCCCAAACTCATTATCTCCCATCCCACTCTCTTGTTCTAACTTTCCTATTACTACAGAAATGACTTCATAGTAATCCAGGCTGACAACCTAGCTGTCATCCTAGACTTCGCACTCTCTCTCTCTCACCATATGTCCAATCTGATGTCAAGTACTGATATTTCTGCCTTCACAATATCTCTTATATACGTCCCCATCCTTCCTCAGACACAGATGCCACCTGAGTGGAGGCCATCATCACCTCACTCCTGAACTACTGCTATAGTTTTCTGGTTAGTGTCCTGCCTCAAGTCTTTCCCCACTCCCAGCCACCCTCCACTCAGCCACCGAAGTCATCTTCCTAAAGTGAAGTTCTGACCTTGTCACTCCTCCTCTCATCAAACTCCAATGCCTCTCTATGACCTCTAGGATCAAATATAGAATCCTCTGCTTGCCTTTGAAGGTTCTTCACAGCCTGACCCCCTCTCCATCTTTCCAATCTTTTCCTTTCCTTCCCTCCGAGTATTATGCAATCCAGCAATGGTGGCCTCTGGGCTCTTCCTCAAACAAGATACTCCATCTCCTTATTCTGGGCATTTTTATAGGCTGTCCCTCATGCCTGTCATGCTCTCCTCTTATTTCTGCCCTCTGGCTTCCCTGAGGTCTCAACTCAGATCCTACCTTCTGCAAGAGGCCCTCCCCATCCTGTTTAATGTTAGTGATAGACTGAGGGAATATTTGTCAAAGCACTTAGCACAGTGCATGGCACACAGTAGACATTATATAAATGCCGAAATGAATTTCTATCCCTAAACTTTTGCCTAAGCCATTGCAGACTCCTGAGATTCCTGCCCCTGGGAACTGATAGATATCTATGCATGTTAGCAGGATTTGGGGAGAGTCTGCTGCCTTCCCTCTGGGATTACTTCTTATTTCCCCTGAATAGACCTTGTTTGTTCATAGCTACTTGCTTGTTGTCTCCTCCCATTAGATAGTAAGCTCCTAAGGGCAGGGATTGTCTTCCTTTTCTTTGTAACCCCAGTGCTTAGCACAGAGCCTGACATACAGTAGGAACTTAATAACTGCTTGTTGACTTCACTTTTTGAACTTTAATTTGGGGTACAATGCTATGTGCCTGCCACTCCTTTAGGGGTTCACACAGACCCTATGTAGCCTCTAAAACATAGAAAAGCCGAACACAGGCTTTCCTTAATACATGAAGAGAAAGATCAGTCTTTACTTTTCTCCCATCCAAACCTCTTTACCAAAAAAAAAATGCCTTCTAAAACCAGCTGCTATTTATACAGCACTCTGAGGTTTGCAAAATACTTCACAAATATTATCTTGCTTGATCTTCACAACCTGGGGAGGTAGGTGCTAATATTATCCTCATTTTACAGATGAAGAAACTAAGGCAGTCAGCAGTTAAGCAACTTGACCAGGGTCATACAGCAAGTGTTTGAGGTTAGATTTCAACAAAGGACTTCCTAACTCCAGGCTTGGTGCTCTATCCACTTTGCCATATAGCTGCCTTTTTCTAGTCTATGCTCATTCTTAAATTCCCTGATAAAACCTGATCCAGAATTATTCCCCTTTGGTGGCAAGATCCCACAGGAAGAGGGGAGTGGAATATAGGGCAGAGGAGTTGAACCGCCATGTCTTCTCTCCTATCACTGATTGGTGAGTCTATCTGTTTTTCTTTGGAGAAAGGCATGAGATCTCCACATTTAGAGTGCCCTGCCTCCCACTCCTTGAGACAGATGTCCCCCTCTTCCTGCCCACGCCCTCTTACCCGCTCCGGCACATGTTGACCACATTGTTCAGCATGCTGCTGGTGAAGTGCTGCTTTGCCATTTGGGGCAACGAGGTCATCAGGTTCCTCATGGTGTAGCAAGCAGATGACATGATGTCCCCTGAGTTGCTGGTGTTGCCCGTCTGGCTAGAAAGGAGACGAGTCATCTCTGGGAAAATTTGGTTCCCTTTAAGAGAAAGTGGTGGGAGGACATGTTCAGGACCCAGGAAAATCAGTTAAGTGATAGGACACGGTCTTTAACTTCAACATTATGGCCCTGGCCTTCTATCACCTGGGGATCAGGAAGCATGGGGCTTCTAGTGGAAAATGTTAACTTGAAGCTCAAAGACTGTATTTGAATCCTAGCTGTGCCCCTTCAGACTCGTGTGACCCTTGGCAGGTCATTCAACCTCTGTGGGCCTTCATATTCTCATCTGTAGAGGGAGAGGGTTGGACTAGAAAGCCTTTGAGCCCTTCCAGCTCCCCCTGGACTCTACTGCAATCCATTAAACCCCATATTCATCACTAAAGCCCCATACCATTCCAGCCAGAATCCTTGGCTACTCCACACTGACTTCCTAGCTTGGACTCACTGCTCTACCCAATATTCTCTTATCACCACATTCTGAGGACTTTCCCCTTAGTCTTACATTCCCCTTGTCATTTCATTCCATGATACACATGCATAGAAGGTGCTTAATAAATGATTGCTGGAATGAATTTCTATCCCTAAATATTTACCTAAACCAATATAGACTCCTGAGATTCCTGCCCCATGGAACTGATGGCTAGCTATCCTATTAGCAGGATTTTTGGAGAGCCATACACTTAAAAGAGATTAGGGAGATGATTCAGGGGGGAAGTCCCATGGAGAACATCTCTTACCCATCGCTTTGTGCAGCACAGGATGTCGAGACATGTTACTCAGGAGGGAGGCTCCAGACCTGACCACATCGGAGTTGCTTGATTGCAGAAGGCGAGCAATTTGAGGCAAACCTTTTTCCTTCAGCCCAATCAATTGACTCATGCCACTGGACATCTAGCAAAGACATGTAGAGCAATCACTCCTGGACTCCAGGAAAGACAACATTGCTCCTGATCATCTATGTTACTAAGTACTAGAGCACTTTAAAGAATCATGATCTCATGAGAGTAGGTGTTTTCTCTATCCACAAACACAGATTACAAACCCTCAGTTCCTTAGTAAATTATCTTCATGATTTCCTATGACTGAAAACTTTCAGCACCTAGTGGTCAACTTTTTGGATTCTTTAACCTTGGTCCTCCAACAACAGACAAATCATCTATCACTAGACTCAAATTCACAACCTTTCCAGTTAAATCTTTTGCAATAATAGTATAGCCTTCAAGAACCTAGGATTATCTCTACACCATAATGAGGCATTCCAGGTGAAATCCATTAGAGTGTAAGCTCCTTGAGCACAGAGGTTGTCTTTTGCCTCTTTTTGTAGCCCTAGCACTTAGCACAATGCCTAATACATAGTAGATGCTTAATAAATATTGATTGATTGATTGATTGATTGAAATCCACAGGGTGACCTCACATGTTGGACCAACCACCAAGGAAGTATAATCATGCAGACATTCTGAAGCCACATAGGCACATCCCAAACACTTTATGTAACAGGAATTATCATAGTAGGGAAAAGAATACCAGTCTGATTGTCAAGAGAGTCAGGTTCTAGTCCCAGCTCTGCCACTGATGAGTTATGTGACCTTGAATAAGACATTTGCCCAGAACTGAAGATTCTCAGGGTAGGAAGGGACCCCGAAGCCATTTAGTCAAACCATACCAGAACACGAATTCCATCTACAATATACCAGAGAAGTAGTCTTCCAGCCTTTGCCTAAAGCCCCAGCCTGTTCCTTGATGACCTCTAGGGAGGATGGTTTCTCTAAGACAACTCGTTCCACTTTTGCATAGCTGTAAGTGTTAGGAATTTTTCCTTACATCAAGTCTAAAAATGAGTCTGGATAACTTCCACCCATAGTCCCCACTTCCTCCTTTTGGGGCTAAGTAAACCAAATCTAATCTCTCATTCATATGACAGCCATTCAAATACTTGAAAGCATCCTTACCTCCCACCCACATCTTCTCTTCTCTAGGCTAAATATCTGCACTGTCAATGACCACTCCCCAGATAGCATGAACTTGAGGCTCCTGATTGCCCTCCTTTGGACATTTCCCAACTCTTCTCTCTGCCTTAGTATACGTATATGTAAAACACAAATGTCTCACCTCTAAGGTTTGCTATGAGAACCAAATGAGATATTGTATAGGAATCCAGGAAGAATTCTAACAAACTTTATAAAAAAACAACTAAAGTCTGTACTATACAAATTGCTCTCCAAAAAAATTAGAAAGAACACACTCTGTTAAATTTCTTTTAAGAGACCAACATAGTCCTAATACACAAACCAGGGAAGGATAAAGTAAGGAAAGAGAACTAGAGAGCATCAGTAATGAACATCATTTCAATATTTAGAACAAAATCCTAGCAACAAGATTATAGCAATGTATCTGAAAAATTATTTGTTATGATCAATTTGGATTTTTACCAGAGATGCATTCTTGAACATTAGAGCTGTTGGATAAGAAAGAACTTTAAAAAGAATAAGCATGTATCCCAGCATAAAAGATTATTGTCATTTCAAAGCTTCTAAAGGGGAATTAAGGACAGCAAATATTCAGTGAGTACTTGTTGGATTGAACCAGTTTAGGTCATATTGGACTTAGCTCCAGAATCCGGAATGTTTATCCTGTAGAATCATCAAAACAATCCTTGGTACTCATGACACCATTGGTAAGTGGGCAGGCAGCAGACATAATACAATAGGGAACAGTGTATTCTTCCAAACCTTCATGAAATTAAACATATTTAAATCTCAGAAAAGGAACCTCAATCTTCCAGTAGGAAAACTCCATTGAAGTGGGCCCCCTTAGATAACAAAATTGCCCCCTATCCCACTCTCAGAAGTGTATACACTGTGACTGAAGGAATCAGAGAATTTACATTGTACAAGGAAATGGAAGAAAGAGAAAGAAGAGAGGAAAATAGGAGTTGAGAGAAAGAGAGAAAGGGAGGGAGGGAGGGGGGGAGAGAGAGAGAGAGAGAGAGAGAGAGAGAGAGAGAGAGAGAGAGAGAGTGTAGAGGAGATGTTGGTGGAGACAGGGAAGTTGGAAGTGGCCATTCCTCTCACCAGTCCTTTGCTAGCAGTGAGGTTCTGCAGGGCACCAGCACAAGCCTCCAGGGTGGCATCTTTCTTGCTCTTGCCCATGAGGTTCAGGTAAGTGCGAATGGCATCAGAATGGTACAGCCAGTTACTTCCTTTGGGTTTGGTCTCCTCCTCAGGCAAAGGGAGGTCATAATTGTTATTCTAAAGGACAAATGGCAGATCATTAGGAAGACTCAACTAAGGAGCCCTGAACCCAACTTCTGCTGGATCTTTCCAACTGATCTGAGTATATCTCTCACCCATTTATTTCTGACCCTATACCTAATTGGACTAGGGTTGGACTACTATGGTAGGAGAGAGGGAGAGAGAGAAACAATGGAAGTTGACCTGGCAGGCAGAGACAGGCCTACTGGGCTATGTCCTCAAAGTTTAGGAGACTGACATGTCCCTTGGTTTTTTTCAGTTTCTGCTAAAGTGGAGCAAATCCAACTGAAAAGGGCTAGAATTTGACTTAATGATCCTGACAACAGTAGGGAAGAGTGGATTGTTTCAAACCTCATAAAATTAAACATACTCATGCATATTCTGACAACAGGCACTGAGATCAATTAGTGTGCTTTGAAAAGCATGGTCTGTCACTAGCTGCTTGGCTTAAGTCTTCAGTCCAAGGAACTAAAGGCATAGGCTGCCTCTGGCCCCAACTCCTGATAATTACTTTACTTCCCAAGGCAGGCCCATTAAACTCAGGTCTCCCTTGAGTGGCAGGGCATATAAGCTGGCTCAAGGTCCCAATGCCATAGATAGGTGACTGCCATACTCAATCCTCTTTTGGGAAGTCCATCCCCATTCATATCTCAATCTTATATCCCTCCTTCTGACCGGAGTGGTTCTTAACCTAGGATCTACAAGCTTGTTTTCTTTTTTAACATTTGAAAAAGTATTTGGTAATTATATTTTAATGCCATTGGTTTTCTTTATAAGCATTTTATTTTATGCATTAAGAATATTATTCTGAGAAGGGGTCCATAGGCTTTACCAGATTGTTTATGATAACAAAAAAAGATGACTCAGGGGAAAACTGGGGCTAGGAAAGAGTGAAATGATGACCTCAAAGTGCCCATTGTAATTTCTTATTCTCAAAGCAATGCAGAAAAAAACAAAAACAAAAAAACACATGAAGTAGGTGGGCTCTCAGATGGGCATTCTCCCCTGGAGGCAAGTAAAGCCTTCGGGAAGGAAGTGGGGAGATTGAATTGATTGTAACAAAGTCTGAAATTCTATTTTATGAATTGAGCACTGAATGCCATGTCAGCAGTGTGTCCCAGTGCAATCCTGGCGCTTGACCTCCCACTTTCCCATCATCTAAGTCCATCCCTGAGGGTTTGCTCCACTTGGCTCTCCTGGGCTGCCCGGGCAGGAAGAAGGGTTCCTCACCATCATCTTTTCATTCCTGTTGCTGAAGCAGCCTGTGGAGGACTTGTCAGTAAAGGTATTGCGGGTGTTATACTCCAGCTGGCTATAGCGGGTGGGCACTTCGGCGTCCAATCGGTAAGACAGATTATGCAGGATACACATGCAGTTCTCCACAGACTGAAAGGTAAGCAAGAGCACAGAGGCCTGACTTCTCTGCCCAGCCTGGGCAGGCTTCATGCTTCCACCCAGCCAGATCAAGAGACTGAAAGTAAGACAATAGCTGCCCCAGGCAGTGCCCGGGAGGGGGGCTAGTGGGTCATCACAATTATTCTCTATCCCTGCACCAGCTCTGGTGCTCTGATAATCTCCATTATCCAAGGATCCAAGGACCATGCCTTCTAGCTTTGGAATGCATTGTAATAGTTCTCATTTGTGTAGTACTTTACAGCTTGTAAAATACTTTCCTCAAAAAACCCTGTGAGGCAGATAGCAGATGTGAACACCATTATATCCATTCTGCAGTTGAGGAAACCAAAATTCAGAAGAGTGAAGAAATTTGCCCTTCTGCATGGTTAGAAAGTTGCAAAGTATAGGCTTATAATATGACAGGTTCATAACTCCAGAGCTGTAAAGAATCACAGAGGCTATCTAATCCAGCCCTCTTATTTTGCATATGAAGAAACCAATGTTCAGGGAAACTAAGTCACTTGCTCAAAACAACAAAGAGCCTATGTATCAAAGGTAGGATTTGAATCCAGATCCTCAAGAACCCAGTGTTCATTCCACAGGCAATTTTATTTATTTGTTTGGAGGTGGGGGAAAAGCGGCAGGGGGCAGGAGAATGGCAGCAAATTTACTTAATCATGCCTGGTCCAGGCTGATGTTAGAATTAGGCTGTACCGTTGAGCTGGGATTACATATTTGAAGGGAATATATCTCGAAGAGGAGAAATATCATGTGTAAAACAGAGATGGCCACAAATAACCATGGGAATACCTTTCTTCCTAAAGCTGGATCTTCACTGTCTACTTTGACAGTCTACTTTGGTGGCAGAACTTCTCCAAAAGGAAATCTCTCTCTGTGGCTTGTCACTGCTATTCAGAAATCCAAAAAGGTCAGATCTCATCTCGCAAGTGCTACAGGGCTTCTCCTGTCACCTAAGTGACTTCCAAAGCCCAGATCCTCTACATTTTGTTTCTATGTGCCAAAATGCCATTGAGATGGAAAGAAGCAATGGAATCCATTAGCCCAGACTTGGCCATCACTTTCTACTAGTCTATAGTCTACACATTCTCTTGGCCACCACTTTCCACTAGTCTTCAGAACCACACACTGTCTTATCTAAGGGCTTCCATTAGCTTAGCTCACATTCTTAGAAGGCCATGAACAAGCTTCCTGGTTGACTTGGCTTTTGAAATGGGAACTGTTCAAATGTAGGCACCAAGGCTGACACTCCCCTTCTTGGGCTCTATGACTTGACTCTGAGGCCAAGTTTGTTGAGAAGAAGTCCAACCTCTGGGTATGTAGGGAGCTCTGGGAAGGAGGAGATCAAGACTAGAGTCTAAAAGAACAGGGCTCTTACCTTGTCATCACAGCGACTGGCTGCCACACAGTTCTGGACGTAAGTTATAAGGGAATCAATCAGCCCCGGGTAATTACGCATAGTCTGGCGTCCAGCATCAGCTGAGCTCAGGTTCCTGAAAGAAAAGAAGAGCATTAAGGAGAGGCATAGAAGGGGAGAGAATGGAGAAGACAGGAGGGAATGGAGATGGAAATGGAGGAAAGAATTTATTCATTCTGAAGTATTTATTTATTAAGTCCTTACTATATGCAAGGTACTGTACTTAGGCTCAGGGCACAAAGACAAAAAAAATTACTTCCCCTGAAGGAGCTTACGTTCTAAGGAGGAGATACAGTGTACACATTGCCAAATATATATATATATATGTATACAGCACATTCAAAGTAAATACATAGTGATTTCAATCGAGAGAGCTCCACAGCTAGAGGGATCAGGAAAGGTCTCATAGGAAATGACACCTTAGCTAAGCCTTGAAAAGAACAAGGAATTCCAAGAGAGAGAGAGAGAGAAGTGAGGAGGAAAACCAGGCAGGGACAGCCTTATGTTTTATCGTAGATACAGATGGAATGTCATGTACAGGCAGAGGTGTGCTGGAGCCAGCTTGTGGCAGCTTTCAAGAACCAATTGCCAAATTTTCAGCATGAGCATTTACATGCTGCAAGCCAGCAAATGCTACAAATCAGAGCTTGACTGCACCGAGCCTTTAGAAAGTGACAGATAAAATGTTAATGATGCAGATTAAACTTAAAAGTGTGTCATACATACTTCTATTTGGAGAATTAATTGTTAAACATTTCCAGCATGTCCCTACGTATAAGGAACAAAAAGTAGGTCAGTATGGCTAGAGCACAGAGTGAATGAAGTGGAATAATGGGAGATTGGGCAGGAAAGAGACTGGAATCAGACTGTTAAAAGTTTTAAATACCTATAGAGGAGTTTGTATTTACTTTATCCTAGAGGCAATAGAGAGCCATTCTTTCATTTATTCATTTAATAAGCAAATATATTAAGTGTCTACTGTGTGCCAGAAGCCTGGAATATAAAGTCAAAAACAAAAGTCCCTGCCCTTACAGAGCTTATCTTCTCTTGGGAGGACAATAACACGTACACACATAAGTAAATACAAAGCCATAGATGTTTCTCGAGCAGGAAGATGACGGGTTCAGATCTGTTCTTTAGGAATATCAGTTTGGCAGCTGTATGGAGGATGGATTGGAGAAGGGAGAAGCTGGAAGCAGAGAGATCAGTTAAGAGACCATTGCCACAGTCCAGGCTGAACTAGGGTAGTGAATGCACGAATGGAAAATGGGAGGGGAAAGAGGGTGAGTGGGTAGGAAGCCAATGGAGACCAATGGAGGATGAGAGGGAATGAAGAAAAGAAACAAAGGAATAAAGAAATGAAAGCAGGGTGAGGAATGAGGGGAAAGAGTGTGTTGGAGGAGAGAGAATGGGGAAAATAGAAGAAGAAAAAGAAAGGATAAAGAAATAGGAAAGAACAAACAACAGGATGGCTAAATGCTAATGCTGAAAGAGGCTGAGATACGGCCTCATTTGAACTTTGTCTCAGTGCCATCTTCTCTGACCCATTTTCTGCCCACTCACTCCTCATGCCCATGATTTTACAACTTTCCCACTATGACTGTTATGGTTGGCACCTCACACAAGCCCCTGGCAACACATATCACGACCTCCCTGCAAGTAGGGACACTCCCTTCATAGAGGTCTAGAAGCCCCCTGTTTCTCAATGTTTCTTCTGTTGGGGGCACCTTCCTCTAGTGCCGGAGGACACAGATTAAGTGGCAGTTGGCCAGGGACCTGATCCACCTCCCCACCCAATACTTTCAAGCAGCAAATGTGTTTTCCCAGCTGCCACATTAGGCAGGTTCCCAAGCAATCTGGGCCCATCTGCCCGAGGTGGGTGGGGCTGCTCTTCTACCCCTCCAGCAACTCCATAAAGGCCTTAATTACATGGCTTTTTCATCTCCAAGCCTCCTATGCCTCAGCAGGCTATGGGGCAGGTGGTCTATTGGAGAGGTTATAAGGAGAAGCAACAAGTTTAAACTAAGAAGCACATGCCAAGAAACTTTCTCTGGACTCCCCAAGAATTCTATAAGTTCCCTCAGTGGAAATTATTTAGAATTATGTGATATTACTAAAACTAGGTGGCTCAGTGGATAGAGTGCTGAGCTTGAAGCCAGGAAGACCTGAGTTCAAATCCAACCTCAAACACTTACTAAGCTGTGTGACCCTGGGCAAGTCACTTAATTCTGTTGACCTCAGTTCCCTCATCTGCAAAATGAGCTGGAGGAAGAAATGGCAAACCACTCCAGGTTCTTTGCCAAGAAAACCCCAAACGGGGTCATGAAGAGTCAGACACGACTGAAAAATGAGTCAGCAACAACAACTAAAAGTGTTCATCTCCTTTGACCCCATTGGTCCTTATTGCTCTCAGCATAGATATTTGAAAAGGTCAAAGACTGGAAGTGCCCAAATATATTAAAATATTCATAGCAGTACTTTTTGTTGTACCAAAAAATTAAAAAACAAAACACATTGGAAGTAGAGTGGGTGTCTGTGGTTTGGAAAATGGCTGAAATAATCGTTAGTATATAAATGCAAAGGAATTTTATTGCAACATAAGAAGTAATAACCACGAAGAATTCAGAGTAACATGGAAAGACTTGCATAAACTGATACCGAATGAAGGTAGTGAAATCAATAGATCAATATACATAATGAGTAAGATGACACAAATAACATCTCTAAAAGGCAGAACGCGTATGAAATGAAATGACCAATTTTGGTTCCAGAGAACAGATGATGAGACATATCTCCCTCCTTTCAACAGAAAACTCTTAGTAGAGAGGAGGATGACTATGGTTGCAGAATGTTACAAGTAGTGTTAGATGAAATCTCTGCATTGGTTGATTTTGCTTTAACTGTTTTGATTTATTTTAGAGGAAAGATTCTGTGGAGAAAGAGGTTTCTGCAAAGTGACTATGGGAAAAATAAAGGGTAGCCATAAATCCTTTTTTTTCCTTTAAGAAGCAAGTCTCCTAATGGAAAAGATTAAAATCATTGAAACAAGGTAGAGATGTCAAGGGGGGCCTTACCCTTCTCTGAGTACTCCATTGAGTGGCATGATATTTGCTGTTACATAATGATCACACCCAGATTCCAGCACCCAACAGCTCTTGCTGAAACCACCTTCTACCCTAACCACACTCTGCCTGGTTTGGAGCTTGGAACACTTTGGGCATAGACATGGTCTTTGTGCCAATCTATATGATGCAGTGGCCTAAGGCTGAGAGTGACTTATTAGCTGAAGCCTTTGTGTGGGGAAATTCTCTTCAACTAGCACAGAGAACGCATTTCAGTGAATAAAAGAGCAAAAAAAAAAGGAGAAACAAGAATTGAATTAGTTAGAACATTAAGACATAGGTATTTGGTTCCTGGACAAATATCGGTTATTGTGCATGGAAACATACACGTGCATGCACATGCTGAACTGTAAGAAATGATGAATATAGAATATAATGAACATGTAACATATGTACTGAATGATGAATATAAATGAACATGTAAGACATGTAAGAAACTAATATAAATGAACATGTAAGAAAGGATGAATATGGAATGGGATGAACATGTAACCTATTACTAAATGATGACTATAGATGAACATGCAACACATGCAGGAAATAATGAATGTAAAGGAACATATTATACATAAGAAATGATGAGTATAAAGAATTCAGAAAAGTGTCAGAAGATTCCATGAATTGATGCTGAGGGAAATTATGAGACTATAAACACACACACATTTTTCTTATGGGGAATTGTGTATGAATAATGACTCCAATGATACAAATGGAAGAAATAAAAACAAAATGAAATCAGACACTACTTGTAGGGAACAAAGTTGGCCCCAAAGAAGAGATAAGACACTGCAGCTTCTCCCTTCTCTGCAGAATTAGGGGACTCTGCAAACGTGTGTATTCTATATACTGTCAGACAAAGATTATGTGCTGGTTAATTTTTTAAAACTGTTTTTCCTTTCTTTCTTTTTTTTTAGACTTCATTATATTTAGGTGATATAAAAACAGAAGACACCAATAAAAATAAATTTATAAAAATAAAATAGTACTTGGTTTCTCTGTCTCAGACAGGATCTGGGATGAGAAGGACACCATTGATGGAGGTGTCAACACTGGGTTGTTCTACGTTGTTCCAAGCACAGGTAGAAGGGAAGAGCCGAATACTCTCACCTCAAACAGCCAGTTGCATTGAAGAAAACTTCTGGGTCCACTGTTTCCCTGGACATGTTGCTGTTACCATCACACCAGCCAGAGAAGGGGATGATAACCCGATCAGTCAGAACAGGGAGGGCTTCATTAATGAGTTCTTGCTTCAGCTCATCAGTGGAAGACAGGTTCCAGAGCAGTCCTGAAGAAAGAAGGGTCTCATTTTAGCCACAGCCCCTTGGGGCCAAGCTTCAAGGAGAATTCACCAGTCTGTCCTCCTGCCTATCCCTACCCTTTTCTATAATATACTCTCTACAACATACAACAAGTGGTCATCTAACCTTTGCTTTAAAACTTCCAGTGATAGGGGACTCACTACCTCACAAAGTGTCCCATTCTACTTTCAGATCATTCTAACTGTAAGGAAAGTTCTCATCTAAACACATTAACTCTCAGCTGTTCCCAGACAAATTAACAGATCACTTCCCAAGGAACTTATTGTCTCATTGGCCCTTGGGTATACACCTTCCCTCCCTAACTAGACTACATGTTCCTGGAGAATATAGTTTTTATTTTAGGCTTCTTTATCTTATACAGCATGGGAAGAAGTGCTGCTCAGTGAATAGAGTTTGGGGCTTTGAGTCAGGAGGCCTGGGTTCAAATTCAGCCGTGTATTAGTTACATGACCATGAGCATGGCACAACCTCTCAGAGTTTCCTTTTCCTCATCTGTAAAATGGGCATAAGAATTTCCTTTCAGAATTGTGAGGAAAGCACTCTGCAAACTTTAATATAAATGTAAGTTAGAGTTAGTGCAAGGCACATAGTACGAACTCAAAAGAAGTGTTGACACATATTTTGGCACTTAATTATATCCAATCTGATACTGTTCTTCAGTTATTTCCTGTCTGTAAGATTGGTGTCCAGCTGGATTTTAAGTGCCTCAGAGGCAGAGACACTTTTTTAAAAATTACTATTGTCGTTAAGTAATGTTAATAGTGAAATAAAATAATGTGATTAATAACATAATAACAGCTCTTATTGTTTGTTTACATTTTTAAGGTTTGCAAAGTGCTACAGCAAGCCTGAGAGGGCCAATTTTTACCTACCCCCTCAAATAATGCAAGTATTATTTTTCTTATTTTACAAATGAGGAAACTGAGGCACATGGTATCCGCAGCAAATTGTGTGAATGTAATAGTGTTCTGGTAATATTTCTTGAATTAAATTACTCCCATCAGACACATTTCTTCTTCTTTTTCTTTCTTTCTTTCTTTTTTTTGTTTTTGTTTTTTGATGAGACAATCGGGGTTAAGTGACTTACCCAGGGTCACACAGCTAGTAAATTTCAAGTGTCTGAGGCTGGATTTGAACTCAGGTCCTCTTGATTCCAAGGCCAGAGCGTTATCTATTGCACCACTTAGCTGCTCCCCCAGACATACCTTTTCACCATCTGCCTAGCTCTGCCCCCCTTTTGTTTGGGTGGCCCCCATACACCTAAAATAAGTTCCCTGCTTCCACAACCCAATCTATAGTGTTACATCTTGGCAATACAAATCAAACTGTGCCTTAAGACCTAAGCCAAGTGTGTCCCATCAGCCACTAATCCAAACACAAGTGAAGCAGATATTGAGACTAAATCTGTTTCTTTTTAATTTCTACTCATTACTCCTCATTTTTCCTTTGGGGCCAACTCTAATCTCTTTTCCATATCACAGTCTCTTAATTCATGTCTCCCCGAAGTCTTTTTTTCTCCAAGTTAAGCATCCTCAGTGCCTTCAACACATCTTTGTACTGTGTGATTTTGAGGTCCTTCGCCATCAAGCATGCCTTTTCCAGATGGATGCTCTCTACCTTAACTAACGCCTTTTTAAAATGTGGCATCCTGAACTGAACACAAAACTCCATGTCATCTGAGCAGGTACAGTGCAACTAGCCTTCTTTCTGGAAGCTGAATCTCTCTCAGTGCATCCTAAGATCTCACTAGCTTTGTGGGTTGCTGTAACACACTGTTGTTTCACATCAAGCTTGCAGTCCACTAAAAACTCCTTTTCATATTAACTGCTGTCTAGTCTCCCCTCTCATATCATACTTATGAGGAATTTTTTTGGAATCCACGTGTAAGACCTGGGTGCCACATCATACTAGTCACTCACTATGCCTCACCCTCTCACTCTCTATATTCCAAAATGCATTTACCCTTGATCTGCATACAATATCAATATTAAAGCTGATCTGTCTCTACATGCTCATCTCCCGTAAGGTCTTAGGCTGTCAGCTCCTAGAAGGTAGATAATATATCTATGTATATATTACATATATACACCTCCTCTATGGGTAGGTAGGTGGCACAATGGATAGAGCACTGAACCTGGAGTCAGAAAGACCTGAGTTCAAATCTGGCCTCAGACACTTACTAGCTGTGCAACCCTAGGCAAGTCACTTGACCCTGTTTGTCTCAGATTTCTCATCTGGAAAATAAGCTGGAGAACAAAATGGCAAACCATTCCAACGTCTTTGCCAAGAAAACCCTAAGTGGGGTCATGAAGCGTCAGACATGACTCAAAAATGACTAAAAACTTGCTCTATACCACACCCAATATGGCGCCCTATCCAATTAGACACTTAAGAAAAGTTTTGATGATGATGAGCTGAACATCACCATTGGGTATCTCTAGGGTAACCTCAGCAGTTCCATTTGTTGGGGGGGGTTCCATTCCTCCTTGTCATGTCCACCAATATGCTCATATTTACTTTTTGGGGAATTCAAAGAATAGCTCCCAAATGTTTATGCCCTCTCCATAAAAAGTAAGTCCACTTTGCTAAGATGACTGTCAGATGTGGCACGCAGTCAACCTATTTCCCCTTCTTCTGAAATATCCACTGGCCTCTGACATCTTTGATCATATTTGATTCCCCGGCTTGGATCATGGGTAAAGTGAAAGAAGTATGAACCAGTTCCTGGAAAAATTTGTAAATTACTTAATTTCTTGCAGTTTTAGATTCTTCCTCTGAAAACATTGGACTAAGTGATCTAGAAGGCTCATTTAGCTCTAGAATTCTATCACTCGCCCCAAATTCCTTTGGCTTTGTTCTCTTCCTGCCTCACATGACTCCCCAAGCTAATGACACAGGGCTCCCCAGGAGATGGAGACTGTGGCCTCCATCCACACTAGTCACTTACCCTGCGCGACCCTACAAACTAATCCCTAGTTGCCCAAGAGGTGTCCTGTCCCCCTATTTCTGTCCCCTTAGCTTTTCATGGAAGGCAGAAGGGAGGAGGGAAGTTAGAGGCTGGAAGGGCAGAGAGAGAGGAGAGAGAAGCTTGGGAAGGGGAAGGAACTCACCAGTGAGCTGCTTCTGGATCTCAGTGCTCCCGGTCCTCCTCAGGAGGTTCACAGCCTCTGGGATCCCATTCTGTCTCCTGGTCTCCAGCTTGTTAGTGGAGCTCCTGAAGACCAGGTTGCGGAGGGCTCCAGCTGCAGCTTGCTGGACGTTTTGATTGGGGCTCCGGAGGAGAGCCACCAGTTTGCAAATTCCTCCCAACTGGTATACCTAGAGTAGCAGGGAAGCAACGGACATACAGTCAGAAACTCATTTGTTGGGGATAAAAGAATAAAAATTAAACAATCCCTCTCTGTCATCAAGAAATTCATATGCAATTCCAGGAAAAGAATGTATAGAAAGAAAAATAAATGCAAAATATATAAAAAGTATAACCTGTGGTTTAAAGTTCCCAAGACTACAGTCTTCCAGGGACCTGGGTTTGATCCTATGGGACTGCTCCCTAAAGGGTCCATTTCTCTCTAGGCTATTGCCACTACATGGGATTACTCAAAGAAAAGCTTCCAATAGAACTTCAGGGTAGCTCATGTCTAAGTTACCCCAAATGTGGGAAACAGATTCTCCAGCTCCCATATTGAAGGTAGTAAATGCAAATCAGGAATGGAACAGCCTTTATTTTATCAGGCAGTCTGTACATGAAAAGTCCTTAAGGATTTAGAGGGATTTATTTGATTGTCTAAACTGGCCCAAGAAAGTACAAATATTCAACAAAAGGTATGAACATACTAGTGACACTCATATCATCTCAGATCAATTTCCCAATGAAACAAGTTCTGAAATATGCCCAGGTATCTGGTATAAATTATCTAGGTAGAGGAATATAATTTTTAAAAATGTATTTTAAAATATTTGTAATTTCAAAACAAAGTATGAAATTATGATGAAGTGTAAGGAATACAGGAGGGGTTCAAATTCTACCTTTGCTTCTTCCCACCCACCTATGTGATTCTGGGCATGATTTCCTCCTCTGGACTTAAGTACACTCACCCTTAAATTGTGTGTGTGCATGTGTTTGTGAATAAGTGGGGCTGGATGACCAATATCTAAAGTCCCTTTAGGTTCTAAATTCCACAGTCTTTGCTCTTATGACTCCTAATGCAAGGCAAGCATGATTCTTCAGCTGTCCAAATAGGATCAATTCAGAAATCAGACCAATTGTTGCCATTAAAATAAACAATTACATATTTCCTCCTTCATAGTGAGGTGACAGGCTTGGGGTTTAGAATGGTTTCCATCAATCTTATTTAATACTTGCCCTCATTTCAAGGAAGAATACAATATGGGTGGGGAGGGATGTTGGTAACGAATGTTCAAAATGAATCAGTAAACACTCACATATAAGACATGTTTGAATATATAATACACATATGTAGCTATATACATATATATATATATGGTTCATAAAAAAATGGCAGTATTTCAAATGTAAATCAAGCCAAAAGAAGCAGTGAAATACAGTAGAAAGAACAGTGGCTCTGAAACCAGAGATTCAAGTACCATCTCTCACTATCTGTGTGTCTTTGGACAAGTCCTTTAATGGCCCCATACCTCATTTTCCCCATCCATAAAAATGAAGGGTCTGGGTTTGATGGCGTCTTTGGATTCTTCTAGCTCTACATTCACCATCAATCCCAATGCTGTGTTAATTTCACACAAGTATCTATTAATTTCAGAGGATCTGCACAAAGTGCTTAAAGTCAGGCAGAGACAGGTATTGAGGTTTCTATGGCCCCCTTCCCACTTTAGATAAACAGTCAGCACCACGCACAGGTCCTAAGTCTACAGGCTCCTGAAGAGCCCTGTCCTCCTGCAGGGAGGGTTTGATTTTATTCTTTAAAGAAATCAGAATAGGGGCAGCTAGGTGGCACAGTGGATAGTGCACCAGCCCTGGAGTCAGGAGCACCTGAGTTCAAACCTGGCCTCAGACCAGACACTTGACACTTACTAGTTGTAAGACCCTGGGCAAGTCACTTAACCCCAATTGTCTAAAAAAGAAAAAAACTAAACAAAAAAAGAAATTAGTCTCTTATATAATACAAAGTACTAGCAATTTAAAATGGAAATCGTGTTGCTTCTCAATGGAATACTTAACCCTGATTGCCTCACCATAAAGCTAAAAAAAAAATCAAAATAAAGAAAAACAAATATAGAATTTGGGTTCAAATTTCTTGGAAGAGAAATCCCCTGATTTCTGAATCAGTGAGAATTTTTTAATGTAATATGAATCTCTGAATTACCTGTGCACCTGTCTAAAGCAGCATGATGGAATGGGAAGAGTATTGAATGAGGAGTGTGGTGGACAGCTCTATCACTACCTATCTGTGTGACCTTGGACAAGTCACCAATGCGATTAGAGAACATTGGGTCTCAAAGAGACAGAAGAGGTCATCTAATCCAACCCCTGCATTTTACCTATGCAGAAAACAAAGCCTAGAGACAGGTTAAATGGCTTACCTAAAAGACGCAATTAATAAGTAGCAAAGTTGAGGTTTGAACCCCTAACTTCAAAGTCTTCTGGTTCCACATGCAGCCCTCTTTTCCACTATACCATACTTCCTTCCTATCACTAGGTGACATTTAGCTTGGTAGTATTAAGTTATAATAATAGCTAGTAATAATAACTACCATTTATATAGTGCTTAAAGGTTTACAAAATGCTTTACATATGGTATCTCATTTGATTAGGGTTATGGACAACCAATTAAAAAGCAGGAAAGTTAAGTCAGGCTAGTTGGAATGATGAGAAGTTGGTAAGTGGTGGTTGAGGGGAGGGGAAAAGGCAGAAAAAAGGACTGGACAGAGGAGAAATTTCAATGTTGATGATCATTCAGCCTAGTCCTATTTATGCGCCATACCAAGCACCATAACCTACTCCAGGGGGCTGGGCAGAATGACAAAGAGCCAGCAGAGAGAAAGCCTCTACTCAACTTAAACATAGGACCAGACCAACATCTAGGTCTTGCTTGTGCAGATTCAAGGGGAAAGTATGCAGTTGGTTACCTGTTGCTTGGCAGATTCATCCTGGAAACAGGTGTGCTGGATGTAATAGGCCCCAATAGCTTGGTACTTCTCATCCTGAGAGCTCAGGAACTGCACAGCCTTGGGGATAGTCAAGCCACTGCACTCTATGTCTTCACTGCAGATCCTGAGCAAGAGAAGGAGCAGTACATGGGTTACCCTGGCCTAGCACAGGACATCCTGCCTCAGGTTCTCCAGGCCCTTGAGGCCAGCTCCGACATATCTTCCAGAACCTCATCACTACTCTAAAGAATCAAGATGGAAGCAGTGAGAGCTGCTGAACCAGCATTTACACCTTTCGTTTGTTCAGTCATTCATGACTCCATTTGGGGTTTTTTTTGGCGAAGATATTAGAGTGGTTTGCCACTTCCTTCTCCAGCTCATTTTACAGTTGAGGAAACTGAGGCAAGCAGGATTAAGTGACTTACCCAGGGTTACATAGCCAGATTTGAACTCAAGAAGATATGTCTTCCTGATTCCAGGCCAATTGCTTTATTCACTTTGCCAGCTACCTGTCCCTCCCTCATGGAAACAGTTCCTCTAATATGAACCTATCTGTGATGGGAATGGACTCATTGACTGGAATGTCTCCACCCAAGAACACATAGCTGATCCACCCTCTTCCAGGAAAGGATGACGTTAATTCAGAGTTGGTAACATAATGGTTGTAATGAGACTGAGATTCTGTCTTTGGTCTCCCTATGCACCAGCTAGCTTCCATTCAATTTAATAAGCATTTGTTAAGCACCTCTTGCATTCAAGGTCCTGTGCTAGGCTAGAGACACAAAGATAAACATGACCTCATGGAGCTTCATTCCTCACCACAGATCACACCCCGGATTCCAATCAGGCATCTGAAATATAGGTACCACTCATCATGAAGTGACCAGGGGAAAGTGGATAGGGGTGGACCCATCAGTCACCAAGTGCAGCAAGTCTTCATTGTTCAAGTCCCTCATTCTTTCCCATTCCCCAGTCTGCCCCATAGCTCCATCCTTATCATCTTGTGTGTGAACTAATGCCTCCTTATTAATCTCTTCCCATTGTTTTTCCTCAGTCCTGTCAATCTAGCACATTGCTTCATCAAATCTCTCCCTGCCTGACTAAATTATCCTCAATAGCTCTCTAATGCCTACAGCAAAAAAGTCCAGATTCCTACCTGGTTTCTAATGTCCTCCACAATCTGACTCTAACTTAGCTTTCTTCCCTTATCCCCAATTATTCCACTATACCAACCTCCCACTCCAGCTAAATAGGTGTCCTCATGTTTCCCAAATACTCCCTATGCATTCCCACCTTCCCTTAGTGAATTGTATTTCTATTGGATTAGGTCCTTTTTTCCCTTCTCCCCATCTGAATCCTACCATCCTTTAAGTCCTACCCTACTGAAAGTCTATTAAGAAACTCAAATCTTCACTTTTTCTTTTCTTTTCTTTTTCTTTTTTTGCAAATGCCTTTGACTTGAGATAATGAATCAAGGCCTGGGGCTGCCATCTTGTAGTCACCAAAGGAGAATACAACAATGAAGAGGTATCTCCCCATTATTTTCTACCCTAAATCATTTTGAAATCTTGCTGTTACATTCTAGCACTAGAGCAGAGACGCTGGGGGCAATGGTTTAAAGTTAAAGAATGGCTGAGCCTAGAGTCAGGGAGACCTGAGATCAAGTCCAGCCTCAGGCACTTCTAAATGTGTGACCCTGAGTAAATCACCCCTGTCTACCTCAATTTCCTCACTGCAAAATGGAAATAATAATAATGATAACAGCACCTACCCCGCCCTAGGATTGTTGTTAGAATAAAATTAAACAATACATATAAAGTGCTTTGTATATCTAAAAGCACTATATAAATGCTTGTTATTCAGTTATGTCCATCTCTTTGTGAGCCCATGGGCCATAGCATGCCAATACTGTCCATGGGATTTTCTTGGCAAAGATATTGGAGTGGTTTGCCATTTCCTTCTCCAGTGGATTGAGGCAAAAAGAGGTAAGTGACTTGCCCAGGGTCATATAGCTAATAAGTATCTGGGGCTAGACTCCAGGTTCACTGCTCTATCCCCTGAGCCACCTAGCTGCCTCCATATAAGTATATATCTATAGACATGTAGATATCTCTATATACTTACAGACATATAAATATGTATTTATATAGATACATTTATTTATATAAGTATGTAACTATATAAATGCTAGCTATTATTATTATCACTGTGTCTGGGACACAGTAAGTGCCTAATAAATGCATGCTAATTGATCAACTGACTTTCAGGATGTTGGCAGTGCCAGCTTCACCATGTAGGGACATTCTGATTGTGAGAACAGCAGATGAGCTCAGAAGAATCGAGACCACATAGACAATCTACTGCTGCCTGTTAAGCCCCTGCCATGCTACAGGCCTTGTGCTAGGTGCTGAGGTCATGTATACAATGAATGAAACAACTGCTATTCAAAAAGACTTCAGGGAGATCCCGTCCTGGGCCAGAGAGGTGCACCCTCCGTTGCCCTGTCTTTCCTAAACAAATCCTGGCTCCAGTCTCTCCTTCCCTCTCCACCTTCTCAGGACCCAGGCATGTTTGCCTGCCTCACTGCCCGAATTGTCTCCATCCCTTTGTATGTGTTTTCCCCAACAGTCTCCACAAAAACATGTTCTTTTCAAAACTTCAGGGGATACTCAGTCCCATTAATCTGTGTTCCCTCTATTTTGTTGGTGCAAAACACTAAAAACTGTGAAATCCAGCTGTCCTCAACACTGCCTCTAGTTAACAGCATTTGAAAATTTGACTTTTCACTTGCTGGGCCTTGTTCTATTTGCTGTGCCTATGTCCTGTGTCTGAGTCCTGGGTGAGTGTTCTCTGTCTCTGTCTCTCTGTATCTCTCTCTCTCTCTTTCTCTCTTTGTCTCTCCTTCCCTCTCTCTTTCTCTCTTTCTATCTCTCTCTGTTTCTCTCTCCCTCCCTCCTTCCCTCTCTTTGTCTCTCTCTCTCCCTCTCTCTGTCTGTCCATCTGTGTCTGTGTCTCTGTGTGTCTGTGTGTGTGTGTGTCTCTGTCTCTCTTTCTCCTTCTCTCCTTCTCTCTCTCCCTCTCATCAGACTGTCAGACTGGAGGCTCCCTGAGGCCAGGACCTGTGTCTCCTTCATCAGATTGAGAATTTCTAAGGTCTGATTCTATATTGCCCACGTCAAATTGAGAATTCATGAGGTGCATATTCTATGCACCTCCAAGAGACTGGGATCTCCCTGAGGGCAGATGTCTCCCCCATCAGACTAAGAGTTCCCTCCATCAGTCTGGGATCTCCAATGACAGGATGCCTTCCGCTCCTCTGACTAGCCCCACCCCAGTGCCCAGTATAAAACTCTGCATGCTGAAAGAGCTCGGAACATCTGAGTGTGTGTGAACCAGTTTACGGCTGAGTCCCTAGCACTTACTTGGAGCTGGCCCTCGAGTGGCCGAAGGAGAGGTCCTTATTGCAGGAGATAGGTGGAATGTAGATGGGATCCTGCTTGGACGTGCAGGAAGGAGGGCGCACCGGGCACTTCTTCACAGGCTTCTGGCCGCTGCAGGTGCTGTAAAAGCTGTAGCGATTCTGGATGGTTTTGTGGCTCTTGTTGCCCGAGTAGCCTTTCCGCAGGGTCCCCCGGGGGTCGCAGTACAGGTCTGGCTCACTCCGACTGGCCTTGATGTTCTGCTGGAAGTAGATGTCGCTGCCGGGGCCAATGGTGTTACAGTTGCCTCGGTTGTACTGACGGTTCCAGTTCTCCATCTGGCTGTAGGAGCTGAAGCGCCTATTATCTGTGTCTCTCTTGAGGGTCCCATTGTAGATCTGATCAGGGAAAGGGGGGAAAAACAGCATATTCAACTTCCTTTGCCCAAAGACACCCAGAGTCAAACTATAAAGTATACTCAGCTCTTCATATCCCACAGGCATGCTAACCTAACCCATGGTCTGCGGAGATCATGGACCAGAATAAGTCAATCAGTCAATAAACATTTGTTAAACACCTAGTATGTGCCAGGCACTGTGCTGAGTGCTGTGATAAGAATAGGTCACCGGGACAATAGGATGAGTCAAGTAGGAACAGGGAGTGAGAGCTGGAAGGAATTTCAAAGGTCTTAGCATTTCACAGATAAGGAAAGGAGCCCGGAGGGTCACAAAGCTGATAAATGGCAAAATCAAGACAATCCAGTACCTCCCATTCCAAATCCAGTGCCCTCTCCACCCAGTTTCTTTACATATAAAATAAAAGCGTTGGAATAGATCAGGGGTGGGGAACCTGGGGCCCTGAGGCCACATGTGGCCCTCTAGGTCCTCAAGTGCAGCCCTTTGACTGTCTTCTGTTGAGGATCTAGAGGGCCACATGTGGCCTCAAGGCCCCAGGTTCCCCACCCCTGGATTAGATGATCTCTAAGGACCCTCCAAATCTTAGAGTTCTTATGGCTAATCCCAATCTTAGTTTCCCTTAATATCCATCAAGCATTTAGACGACCTCCCCTTAGAATAATAATAGTTTCCATTCCTGGAGCACTTCAAGGTTTACAAAGCACTTTTACTACAGCAAACCTATAATTCAATTAGTGTATGTATTATCTTTCCTACTTTACCAATAAGGTATCTATTTGGGGCCTGGGGAAGTAATCTGGGGATTTACCCAGTTACAGAGCTAATTCAGGGTTGGAGATGAGATTCAAACCCGGGTCTCCTGCTCCTCCCTGCTTGAGGAATGGAAGCCTACTTTATGCCATCCTGAATCAAACAGAATTAGGAAAATAAAATTTTTACAAAACGATCTAATGATATATGGCAAAGTGGAATAAAAAGGATTTGGAGATTATCCATGTTTCTATATCCCTATCATTAGAACTGACAATCAAAGGTTGTCATAGGTGACATTGCTATAGAGTTTAAAGGTTTGCAAAGCACTTTACTTCTCATTTCATCTTCCTACCAACTCTATGAGATAAGTAATACAAATCATTGATATCCTCATTTTACAGGGAAGACACAGGCTCAGGACAGATAGCAATGCGAAAAAAAGAGATTGATCACTTCCCTAGGTCAAAAAGTGGTCTATGCAACCTCATGTTACCCAGGAGTATTTACCTTGCCAATGGTAAAGTTCAGGCTCTCTCTGATTAGATGGGGGGGCGGGGAGGGGCAGAGCATTTGGTACTGCTAATCACACCTCCCCAATGACATCACATAGAAAGTCTCTGATGCCCAGATAAGGAATGGGGGGGGGGGGGGATTTCCCAGTCTGCTGTCTAAAGTTAACCCCACCCTGAATGTAGGGCACCTCAGGCAGTGGACCACCCACAATCATGATGACAAAACTTCAATATCTCAAGGAAAAGTGTGAATACCTCCTTATCAGCACAGGTACCTCATCATTAATATGAGTGTCCCTTGTCAATATGGGTCTTCCTTCCATTGATGCCAATGGAAAACTTGGGCGTGGCCTTCGTAAGTTGTGATGCTCCCCATCTCTAATTCCTTCCTTCCCCACAAAAAAAAAAAACCATCCCCTCACGGCCAACTTTTTAGAGCAGGGCCTTTCTAAGCTTTGCTAGGCTGGTCATTGCCAGGTCCAGAATGGAAGCCTTTCTGGCTTTCTAGGACCTGATGGAGTTTGTGCCCCATGGTCATAAACACAAGGTCCCATTCTGTAGTAGTCCTACTACCAATAATAATAACAGCAACTATAACAATAACTTTAGCAATCCATAACCTGGTGGCTAGAATTACACATTGTTAGCTCACTACCTTCCATAAACTAACCAATGGCAAATCCCCATACTACAAATAGAGACCTCAAAATATTCTTGAGAATTTAGCAAAGGAAGCGTACAAAATGCAGAGCATTATCACAGATGTTGCAGATAATCACAGATTGTAGATAACAGACTGTTATCTACAATCACCCTAACTGGACATGTTGCCATAAAACTCTAAGAGCAGCATCATAACATGCTGCCAGAACCGAGCACTTTTACTCTCCAATCTTCATGAAATGAACAGCTTTAAAATACAGAGATCTGGTAGAAGACAAGAGGCAATGAGGTATAGTCCTTGAAGCCAGGAGGACTTGAGTCCTGTCATTGTCTGAGTGACCCTGAACCACTCCCTTAATCTCTCAGTGGAGTCACACTCAAACAGAAACAGGCCACTAAACCATCCATAATACCATCCTGTGTGTTATACATTGACTTAGAAAACCACATGTTTATTTGTCTGTTGATCTATCTATCCATCCATCCATCCATCCATCCATCCATCCATTCATCCATCCATCTATCATCTATTATCTATTCATCTATCCATCCATCTATCCATCCATCCCTCTATCATCTATCTATCTATCTATCTATCATCTATCTATCTATCTATCTATCTATCTATCTATCTATCTATCTATCTATCTTAACACATCAACCATAAAATCAGCAAGGAATGACAGTTTAGTCTGGTTCAGGCCACATTTGGGGGTGCTGTGGGCTACATGTAGCCCTCTGGTTGCATGTTTAAGACCTGGTCTAGGCAACTCTTTAAAGTTAGGGATTACAGAGAGAGTTCTGACCTGCCTTGTGAAATGAAGTTTCCTCACTTGGAGTTCTCGCTACTAAATTAGTGTTACCTTTACTAAAGAAATCACAGGTTCAGTCTTTGATTCCTGTCCCTCGTGGAAGAAATTAAAATCTTGTGGGAATAGGATGGGGTACATGATAAACCACAGGCAAGTGAACCCTTGTTTGTAAACGAAGCTAGCCAATACTACCATGGCCAAACTGCCTCAGAGCAGACCAGGCCCTCAGGCTTCTACGTAGTAAGTCCCCCATAGAGTTGAAAGTTGAAAATGAGAGGGATAACGTTAACCTTCTAGCAATTCCTACAGCATGTGAGCTGGGAACAAGTTAAATATTTTTGCAGATTATTTTCACTCTTTCAGGCCACTAGTAACACAATGAAGTAAGGATGAGCTCACATCCCTATTGTCCTGCCCACTACTAGAGTTTTATTGAGGATGCTTGTAGAACCTATGGAGAAAGGATCTTATATCCTAAAAACATTATTGCACGACAAAGACCAGTTATTTCATCTGCTTGAGCCATAGCTAGCATGTATGTGCAACCTTAAGGTTTTACAAAACACTTCCCATATACTATCTTATCTGAGTCTCACAACTCTGGGAGGTAGGTGCTATTTTGTTGTTGTTCAGTTGTGTCTGAATTCATGACCCTATTTTGGGTTTTCTTGGCAGAGATACTGGAGTGGCTTGCCATTTCCTTCTCCAGCTCATTTTACGGATAAGGAAACTGAGGCAAACAGGGTTAAGTGACTTGACCAAGGTCACACAGCTAGTAAGTGTCTAAGGCTGAATTTGAACTCTGGAAGATGAGTGTTCCTAACTCAAGGCCTGGCACTCTATCCATGCCGCCTGGGGTTCTGGTGCTATTATTATCCCCATTTTATAGATGAGAAAATTGAAGCTACTCAGGCTAACACAGCACATATTTGAGTCAAGTTTTGAACTCAGATCTTTCTGATTCCAAGTCCAGCACTTCACCCACTATGCCACCTACTCAGTGGTACTAATAGTCTTAATAGCCTGCCTGAGAGTCTGAAGAGTGTTAAACATAAAAGAATAATAGCAGGATAGTGACTTGACCCAGGACTTTTCCGGAAATCTCACAAAAGGTGATGAAGCTATAGACTAGCCCAAAGTGTTTCATTTCCCCTCTTCAATATGTCTGTGTCATCCTTCTAAAAGCAATCCTATCCGGCTTCTCCCTAGTGAGAGCTCCCCCCATTCGTGTCTGGCTCCTCCAGGTGATGCAGTCTTTCCCTTTCCTTGCCACAAATTGTTTACAAACAGAAATGTTGGGTTGTGATGGTAATTCGAAAACATCCTGCTTATCCTTATTAAAAGTCATTTCATCCTCCTTCAAAAGAAAAAAAGAAAAAGATAAGGAAAAGATGAATAATCACATAACAATAGCAGCTACCACCAGCCTTCATAAAGTGCTTTACAGTTTACAGAGCACTTTGCATATACAACTGTTGTGGTAACTCTTCTACAAGTAGCTTTACACCTATTTTGTAGATGAGGCAACTGAGGCCAGAAAGGTAAAGTGATGAGGCATCAGAGTAGGACTTTAAGGGGGGGGGGAAATGTGGCTAATAATAACAGCAACTCACTGATGTTACACTTTATAAAGTTTACAAAAGAGTTTACTCACATGACGCTTACTAGCTGTGTGGCCCTTAGCAAGTCACTTAACCCCGATTGCCTCACCAAAGAGCAAAAAAAAAAAGCATTTGCAAAGCATTCCCCTCACAACAACCACATGAAGTAGAAGGTGAAAGAATTTTTACTTTCAAAGGGGGAGACCAATTAGATAATGGAAAATGACCCCCCCCCCCCGAATTTAGGATGAGCCAGTGATCAATGTACAAGAACAGATAGGAACCAGGTACAGCCCTGCCCAGCCTTCTTGAGTGGCAGAGGAGGCATCCCTGAAGGCCTGTGTTCCCCTTTCCCTAGCTCTTCTAGCATCTTCTATAATGAAAGAACCCCAATATTACCATGGCCAAACTGCCTCAGAGTGGACCAGGCCTTAAGGCTTCCAGCGGATTTGGGAGGGTGGCAATCAGGGTTAAGTGACTTATCCAAGGTCACACAGCTAGTGTCTGAGGTTGGATTTGAACTCAAGTCCTCCTGACTCTAGGGCCAGTGCTCTATCCATTGTTCCACCTAGCTGCTCTGGATTTTGAATATTTAATAATAAACATTTTTAATTTTTCCTTGTTCCTCTTATTATCAAAAG